GTCAATTCGAATCCCATAGTATTAGAAGTAGCAGACGTATTAGCAGTGATAAAAACGACTAGTGATCGAATATATCATTCAAGATGTATAACCTAGAGGAATCAGTTAACAAAGTAGAAAAACGGTTATGAGGAATTCGGAAGATCAGGATTTGAGAGAACATAAAGAGCGTATGAACCTGCGTCATTGCAAACGATTTTGAGTCATGTCATCCAACTTCTCTAACCACCGGCTACAATCGTCTCGTGGACGCCAACCTGGTAGTCTACACATGCCAACAAGACTCAGTCCACTTGTCAGTGACTTCATTGATTTGTGTCACATTTTGATTTGGCCGACCCTGCCTTTTTTTCAACCTGCTCCTACACCACCAAACATCGCTCATCGAGGCAGTCGGTGGTTGAGTATACGTAACCCATGTCCCAACCACCTCGACTGATGAAATTTCTTAATTTAGGTAAAATTAGCTTTATTATTAACAATGTTTCAATCAACCTAAAAAGTTTTTAACATTTATTCAAAAGTTCTATAAATGTGGTAAACTGGTGATTTCCAGGCAGTACCCTCGTAGTTGTGCTTAGATTTCATGAACCACAAGTGTGTTATGAATTTGAGATTGTCCAGCAAGTAAATATCAACTCTGAGATGCAGATAATTCTAGCTTATGACGAGTCCCGGATGTGACAAAACATGCCTCCTGGATTCGACTGCTAGCCACATTCTATCTATTCTCAGTGTTCTAGTGCGAAGCCATGACTAATTCAGTTCAACGGTGTCGGGTGTGAGGTAATCGATGAGTTCGCGCTATATCGCGAATTGTGTCAAGTTAGACACGGACACCACTGAATGTTCACACTCCAGACCGAAGGTTCTAGGTTCGATTCCTGATTAGTGGTGTTATGGATACTCTCCGCTGAGAATAATTCCCATTCTTATAAAATTGTGTTTTTTTCGGACATCGCTTACAGTCAAACAACAATGAAATCACATGATCTAAAAAGCATCTAAGGCGAAACATTACTCACCGTTCCATTTCTAAACGTTTCGCTTCTGCTTCTTGTTCTTCACGTAATTGTTCTTCTTGTATACGTTTTTGTTCTAATTCAATTTGACGTTTTTCACGACGTATTTTCAATTGTAATTGATCAATTGTGTGACGTTCACTTTCCACTAATTCTTCATATTCATAATCAGTTAAATTGTCCAATTTTTCACAATATTGTTGATTTAATAAAATTTGCGCTTCATTCAAATCTAATTGTTGTTCATAAATACATTGTTTATATTGGTCATAATTCGATTTCAAACTTAACGTATAAAAATATTGATAATTATTTTTAAAACATTTTAATAATAATTCTAAGGTAGATGTGGCATTTTTAGTGAATTCTGATTCCAGCCCATTGATAATGATACCTTTATGCGTTGTTGTTGTTGTTGTTGTATAACGATGTTGATATTGATGATGATGAGAACAACCATGTAATTGATTTAAATATTCTTGTATTAATTGTAAAATTATTTCATCCGGTAGAATGGTTGTATACAATTGTTCATTGTTCAATGATTTCAGTGGGGATTTGTCAATGAATGATTTAATAGAATCATTTTTATTATTATTGAACATTGAAGAATATGTAATACGTCGAGGTTTTAATGTTGAATTCAATTCAGGACTAATTAGGCTCTGTTTGAAAATAAGAATTTAAATCATTGGGTAAATTATTTAATGTATTAAAACAATTTACAACTTGTAAAATATATATATTCAAGTGTTCAATAAGTTATCGAAACTTACTTAGTAATTGAACAACTGTACAAATGTCAATCATTTGAGGATAAGCATAGGATAAAGTTTGAATTAGTTTTTCTGGTTAGCGTTTTTTTTGGCTAGTTAGTTTTTGAAGGTGATGATCGACTGGATTATGAAAACGTCAACATCTGGAGGGAAGCACGGTATCAACTGGACGATCTGGACTTCGCAGATGACCTGGCTCTTCTATCTAACACGCAACAACAAATGCAAGAGAAGACGACCAGTGTAGCAGCAGCCTCTGCACCAGCAGGTCTCAACATATATAAAAGAAAAAGCGAAATTCTCCGATACAACACATCATGCACCAACCAAATCACTCTTGATGGAGATGCCTTGGAGGACGTTAATACCTGTACATATCTTGGCAGCATCATCGACAACCAAGGTGGATCCGATGCAGATGTGAGGCTGCGGATTGGCAAAGCAAGGGCTGCGTTTCTAGAGTTGAGAAATATCTGGAACTCCAAACAACTTTCAACCAAAACCAAAATCAGCATTTTCAATACAAATGTCAAGACAGTTCTACTGTATGGAGCGGAAACTTGGAGAATTACCAAAGCCATCATCCAGAAGACACAAGTGTTTATTAACAGCTGTCTACGCAAAATACTTCGTATTCGTTGGTCAGACACTATCAGCAACAACGAACTGTGGGATAGAACAAACCAGATTCCAATGGAGGAGGAAATCAGGAAGAAGCGGTGGAAGTGGATAGGATACACATTACGAAAAGCACCTAACTGCGTCACGAGACAAGCCCTCACATGGAACCCTCAAGGCAAAAGGAAAAGAGGAAGGCGAAGGAACACATTACGCCGAGAAATAGAGAAAGATATGAGAGGAATGAACAAACATTGGACAGAACTGGAGAAGGAAGCCCAGGACAGAGTTGGTTGGAGAAAACTGGTGGTCGGCCTATGCTCCATTGGGGGTAACTGGCGTAAGTAATTAAGTAAGTATGGGACAAAGTTCATTAGAAACAATTCTATGATCAATTCCTGAAATCCCTTTCATTAATAACAATTATTTGCTTACAGGTAACCGGTTTCATGATGTATTCCTGGAGTGGAATTCGATTTGTGTAAGTGGGAAAGAGAGTTATCTGACACAGGACATGGATGAAGTTTGTGAAACATTATGGATTAATTGATGTTAGATGTCGACTCATTGGTCAATAGGTTAAGCGTCTGCGTGATACAAAAATGTCCTCGATTTGATTTTTGTTTTCAGGGATTGTGGATACTCACTGCTGATAGATCTCATACCAGGAGGTGGGCCGTCCAGGGCTTTCAAGTTTCCAATGGTAGCTTAGCTAAAATCGGTTCATGATTTCAACTATGAAAGTAATACAATCTTCATAAAGGCTTATTGATCATTTCTAAGGTAAATTAACCACTCTTAAATTTCCCAAGTATATTTCATGGGCTACAGCTAAAAAAATAACTGTCAAGAAACATTGGACAAATAAGTTTGTAGTAGTATGTGCTGAAACATCTCAGTAGTACATATTTGAAATGAATTTTTTTTAGTTCTATTTTTGAAAGTCATGACTAGTGGAGTTCATTTGTGTTTCTAGAGTGAAATAATTCTCGCCAATATCAATAAATCAATCAACACCAACTTAGATATCTGTTAGGATATTTATCCAATATCCTAAGTGAATTATTGGTCAGTTCCTACTGGCCAATTTTACGGTCATCCTAGAGATCTCAATGTCACTTACTTCAATGTTGTTTCTTATTGGTTCTCCTGACTATCAATGTCACTTCAAATGTTGTTTCCTATTGGTCGTCTTAACTGTCAATGTCACAGACTTCGATGCTGTTTCCTATTCGACCAAAATGCATAAATACTCATTTTGTGTAACGTTTTATGACCACGACCAGGACCCGGACTCGGATCCCTACTCCGGAATCCTGATTCTCTTCTGGACTCGGACCTCGTACTTTCTGGATGCTTGTAGAATATAGGTTCTACTTCACATTCAAGTCTTCTTACTTTTACTCAATATGGGGTTTGGGATAGTCGGACTTGTGGAGTATGTCGTGTCACCGGATCCTCAATCCTCGCTCGTAATAGTTCAAGTGAATCAAGTTGACGTGTTCACCTGCAGGCGTAACAATATCTAACATTAAGTCAAAACTATGCTTCAATGCTATTTAATTCTTAATAGTCTGACAAGTGAACTGAGACATGTTAGTAAGTGTAGACTACCTGGTTGATATCCGGAGATCAAAGTAACCAATCGCTACAGACTTTGAATGATATGACATAAAATCATTCACTATGGCACCGGGTGCATCCATTCTTTGTGTCCTCTCAAATTCTAATCTAAACTCCACATTATCTCTCTCTTTCCAAATTTATTTCACCAGGTTATACTGCTTGAATAATATCTTCAATCCCTAATCTTTCCGATTTCCACTCATACTTCTACTACTCCTACCACTACGGGATTTGGCATGATAATTACGTCTTCAGGCTAATGTAGTATGACAACTTGAACTGATATACATACGTACAACGTTCTACAAGGTTGCTGACTAACTGACTGACTTACTGAATTCTCAATAGTACTCTAAAACACTTGTAATTATTTTCAGGCAGAGTTTTGGAGTTTTTGTGTTTTTACACATTTGAAATCATCAATCAATCATTGTTAGACCACCATTAGAAACCCCGCAAGTACTAGACGGCCGTTTCGTCCTAGTATGGGACTCATCAGCTACTTTTCTTCATTTGCAATTGATTTCTGTTATAATTAATTATATCGTTTTAATCAGTTTAATAAATGGATTTAAAATTTTACAAACTTACCATATCATTCAATTTCTTAGTTATATTCAATAGATCACGTTGTCCGGCAATTTTAAATGGACCTTGACCTTGTCGATTAATTGATAATTTGTGCTGTCTTTCTTGGTGACCTGCTTTTAGCTTTGATTGTTCACCATCAATAGATGTGACAGATGAATGATTACCTGTGCAAAATTATTCAAATTTCAATTTTTTATAAAATGATATATTATGATAATCTGAAAGCATTCTAATTGAGAGTCTGACATAATGATTGATCGGATTAAACTCAGCTTCATCCATCATGAAGTAGCTAGCTAACTGGATAACACGATATCGTTTGAAACAAACGGTACGGTACTGGGTTCAAGTCTTTGCGTGGAAACATCAACTTTGAGATGCAGGCGCATACAGTCTATGACAAGTTCCAAATTGGACGAATTTGCGTCCTCTACTTAATTGTTAGTATTACGAATGCGCGTAAACACGTCAACTTGATATACTTGATCTATTACGAGTTTACCTAATCGGAAAGCGAGAGCCAGGATCGAGGATCCGGTGGCACGACATGCTACTCTAATCCGAGTGTCCCAACTTCCCTATTGAGTAAAAGAAGAAGACTTGATATGAAGTAGAACTTGTATTCTACAAGCATCCAGAAAGTACCAGGTCCTAGTCCAGAAGAGGACAAGGATCCCGGACTAAGGACCCAGGTCATGGTCTGGGTCCCAAAACGTTACAGATAATACGTATTTATACATTTTGGTCGAATAGAAAACAGCATCGAAATCTGTGACATTGACAGTTAAGACGACCAATAAGAAGCAACATTTGAAGTGACATTGATAGTCAGGAAGACCAATAAGAAACAACATTGAAGTACGTGACATTGATAGCTAGGACGATCACAATATTGACCAATAAAGGAGGAGGGCTGGACCCGGGGGTTAGCGATCACATTCATGTAGAAATCCAACTCATTAAAAAAACGCTAACTAGAAAATTATTTTTGCTGATCGGTGAACTGTGCTCTGCTAGGAATAACAGGCGTAATACTTTATTAGTATCTTGGTCAGTTTTCTAAAAATTAAGGAATGCCTTTACATAAATTTTCACCAAAAATCAAACAGTGTGTTCCTGTGTTTGCTTCATTTGCTTTGAAAGCATGAATTGATCAGTGTTAGACCACCTTTAGAAACTCGGAAGCACTGTGAACCCCTTTGATCCTGGTATGGGATTCATCATCAGTGCATATCTACGATTCCTGGCACTCACATGACTCAAGCCTTCATTCGTGCGTACCAAATTCCTAAACTCTCGACCACTGAGCTGGCATCTAAAAGATATGTTCGTCACTAGGTACACTTGAAGCTATGACGAGTTCACCTCAGTCGATAAACGCGAACGCGACAATTACCAGCGTCCAGATAGGCTAATTTGAATCCCAAGCTGAAGACAGAAGGCTTTATAAGCGTAGAAAGTATATTCTACAAACACCTAGCAAGCACAATGCAATCAAGCAACAACTGTCGTTTATTTATACATCACAGAAACGTCCTTGGGACAGTCACTTAAATACACAGCACCCAATCACAGCCATGGATTTTTCTTGGTGGAAAATGAAATCTCAAGGTCAACTGATCAGCCCATGCTGGCTTATGTGAAATCCAAAATAAGGCATTTATCAAGCGAATTCTGGGGATCTAACATCCCCAACACTAACGATTTTTTACGCCTAACTCTGATCAATCTAGGAAATGTTGCACAACTAGACCCATGTGTCTACGGTAGTTTGTGCCTACTACACCTGACCGGGTCGCATTCTACCGGTCACCGCTTCTCTGACTAGAACTCTGAGAAACCTCCTCACGAAGCTAGTCACTAACTAGTAAGCACATTGTACGACTTTTTTCTCATGATTTCGGTAAAAAACAACCATCTTCATAACTCTAATCTAAACAAAAAATAACAAATTTACTCATTTACCTTCCTGAATAGTTTCCTCTTTTGGCCCATTATCCAATAATTCTGTTGGTGAATCCAACTTACTTTCTAAATCGGTCATCATTTGTAATTGTTGTTGTAACTGATCATGGTCTTGTTGTTGCTGTTGCTGCTGATGTTGCTTTTCAAGTAATTTTGTTTGAATCAATTCCAAACCGACATTCAAGCATAGTTGTCTTGCTTGATAAGCTGCCTCTGTGGTACTAGTCAATAAAGCTTCAATAATAATTTGATTTAAATTGAATATCATGGCTTGATATTGATTGGCTAAATTGTTGACGGTATCTGGTGAAATTAGAAAAAATAAACGATAAGATATGTAGTTAATTTGTATGACAGAGTTGTGTGAGTCAGTCAGTCAGTCAGTTGCAATGTAGAACTTCGTACGTATGTACTACATAAGTTCAGGTTGCCATACCACATTAGCACACAGACGCAAATGTCAAATCAAATCCCATAGTGATAAAGATAGTAGAGGTATTGAACTGTAATTGAACTGTAATCAACAAAATGTGTATAAACATGAAAAGTTGACTTCTTTATTACAAATAAATAATCATTGTGGAGTCGAATAAGAATATTCATTTATCAAACGGATTTCGGAAGTCAATCAATGCGATCGTGTTGCGTAACGTACTCAAATATTAGAATATAATTGTCTGACATAGAAGCGTAGCTAACTGTGTATATACTGAATTATTTCAAACTTCCGTGTTGCAATTATAAAGTTTGCACCTCACCTTCATTTAGCTTACCTATGTATGTAGTCAGGGACCGTCCAGATGTTAGGCGTTCACATGCAAGATTGAAAACTGTGGATGGCCGTTTTGTGCTTGTATGGGGGACTCAGATCTTAACAATAGTGAGCATCCACCACCCTCGCAGTTATTCAGTCAGTTGCAACGTAGAACTACGTACGTATGTACATAAGTTCATGTTGCCATACCACATTATTAGCACAAAGACGCAGATGTCAAATCAAATCCCATAGTGATAAAGATAGAAGAGGTATCAATGGTAATGAAGAAGACTAGGGTTTGAAGATATTATTCAAGAAGTATAATTCAGTGAGATAAGGTTAGAAAGACAAATTTAGAGGTGCTGACAATTCCAGAAGATTAGAATTTGAGAGAGCACAACGAATGGATGCACTTGCGCCATTGCAAACGATTTTGAGTCATGTCATTCAAGGTCTCTAACCATTGGTGACTATCGTCTTGAGGACCCCGACCAGGTAACCTACATCTACCATTATGACTCAGTCCACTTGTCAATGACTTCATATACTTCTGCCATGTTTTGGTCTGGCCACCCCTAGATTTCTTCCAACCTACTCCCACACCACAAAACATCGCTCATCGAGGCAGTCGATGGTTAGGCATTCGTAACACATGTCCCAACCACCTCAATTGATGAAGCTTTACTATTTCATATATTGATTTGCCATCCTTACCTAGAACTCGTTTCCTAACGACAGCATTGCTTACTCGGTTGTGTGAAATTGTGTTGAGTTTCATGTGAGAGAGGGATTGTGCATCTGCGCTGCTAATGAGTCCCAGATAACGATGAGGGGCTTGTCTCATGCTTTCAAGTTTCTAATGGTAGTTTAACAATGATCGATTCATGATTTTGATGATATTATAGAGAAATGTTGAAAGGGAAAACAGCACAATTTTCGATAGTAAATGGAAGAACCCGTAGTATTTGTACGAATATGTTGAGCTCACAGAACTTATCCTGACTTTCGGAAAAACCAGTAAACCTTTTCAACCCGAGTCATTCCTTACTCGAAGGCTCGATTGGCTTTTGTCAACCTGTGTCATCTATGGCGTAGGCGAGAAATCCGTTTGCTGACTAAACGACGAGTGTACTGTTCAGTAGTTCGCTCTGTCCTACTATACGGATGCGAAACATGGCCGTTAAGAGTAGAGGGCGTTCGTAGGTTACTAGTCTTCGATCATACGTGTATCCGAAGCATTGCTCGTGTATCCTGGGACAACCGTACAAGCAATGCTGTCGTGAGGAAACGAATTCCAGGTAGGGATGGCAAACCAATAGATGAAGTGGTGAAACTCCATCAGTTGAGGTGGTTGAGACGTGTGTTACGTATGTCTAACCACCGACTGCCTCGACAAGCTATGTTTTGTGGTGTAGGAATAGGTTGGAAGAAAGCTAGGGGCGGCCAGACCAAAACATGGCACAAATCCATGAAATCACTGACAAATGGACTGAGTCATGTTGGTAGATGTAGGCTACCTGGTCGGGGTCCTCAAGACGATAGTCACCAATGGTTAGAGACCTAGAATGACATGGCTCAGAATCGTTTGCAGTGGCGCAGGTGTATCCACTCTTTGTGTTCTATGAAATTCTAACCTTCTGCATTCCTCATAATCTCTACCTTTCTCCTTCTAAATTTATCTGACTGAATTATACTTCTCGATTCATATTTTCGCTCCCTAATCTTCTTCATTACTGCTAATACTTCTATGATAGCTATCACTGTTGGATTTGAACTGACAGTTGCGTCTCTGTGTTGATATGGTATGGCAACCTGAATTGATGTACTTACGTACGAAATTCTGAGTTGTATCTGTCTGTCTTTCTATTCGAATGTAGGTCAGTCACAATTTGAATGGGGATAATAGTAACATTTCTAATTCACAATGAATAACATGGGTTTTGATCACCAACGTAATATTAATTCTCACAAAATTAGGGCTAAACTATTGCTTACAAATACTTACATACTTACTTACTAATGCCTTTTTTCTTCTATTGGAGCATGGACAACCGACCGAGATTCTCCAGCCAACTCTGTCCTTAGCCTTACTTTCCAATTCTAACCAATCGCTGTTCATTATTTTGATGTTTGCTTCCAATTCTCAGCGTACTGTCTATAGATTCAAGTTGCTTACAAATATTATCTATCTAATGCATAACTCAATGCTAAAACTTCTTGTTGACTGTTTAAAACTATCTTACATATTTCAGATTAAATAATTGGGAAACTCTTTAGTCTATGTTAAAGATAAGCATTGAAACATGTTCAGTTGAGGCGATCGGGACATGTGTTAAGAATGCCGAACCACCGACTGCCTCGACAAGCGGTGGTTTGTGGTGGTAAGATAGTAGGTTGGAAGAAAGCTAGGAGTAGCCAAACCAAAACATGGGAGAAATCCATGAAGTCACTGACAAGCTGACTAAGTCTTGCTGGTGTGTGTAGTCCACCTGGTTGGGGTTTGTGAGACAAAAGTCACCGATAGTTAGAGACGTTGAATGACATGGCTCAAAATCGTTTGCAATGGCGCAGGTGCATCCACCTTAATCTCCCAGATTTTTGTAATTACTTGTACTACCTCTACTATTATTGGATTTGGAGTGACGATTTCGTATCTATAGATCGTTTTAGAGCAATCGATGAAATGAAAATAGCCACTCCATATCAGACTTCTTCATTGTGAGAAACTACAGCATTCATAAGAGGAAAACTAAGGTCTTGAAGTACAGCACACAGAGCACCAAACAAATCATACTTGATAGCGAAGCTGTAGAAGATATGGAGATGTTTACATATCACTGATAAACAGAAAAGATATGATGGCAAAGAACGGTCAGTATTTATACAACTCAAAATGACAGTTAACCAACTCTCCTCAAGTCGCAATTTTCAATAAAAACTTCAAACCAATTCCATTGTTAATACCATGAATCGATCAATGCTAGACCACCATTAGAAACCTGGAACCACTTGACGACCGTTTCGTCCTGGTATGGGTCTCCTCAGCAGTACACCGTGTCTACCGAAGACTGTGTATGAGGCTGCGCAACTCCGTGAATTTGATCAATTTAGACATTAACGCCGTTAGATACCGGCTCAGTGGTCTGACGGTTAGGGCTTACGCGCTCAATACCGAAAGTCCTGGGTTCGAATCCTGTGGAGTGCAGGAGTCGTGGATGCGCACTGCTGATGAGTCTCAACCAGGACGAAACGGCCGTCCAGTGCTTCCAATTTTCTAATGGTGGTCTAACACACGCAAGTAAGCACTCAAATCATCTCTACACACCTTGCTACCAGTTTTTAGTCAACTTACCATGTCTTATGGATTCCAATGCACCATTGACTAGAATCACTATACCAAATTTCCCACATTTACTAGGATCTTGCATTGAATCCACACCTAAATAACGTGTTAAAGCTAATGAGACAGGTGTTACATCGAATGTTGGTTTTCGTTGATTGAAATTTGATAAATCCGTTGATAGATTTTCATGAAGAAATAATTCAGACAACAAGGTGGTTGGTTTATCGAATTTATGCGGAGGTTCTAATAATTCATTTGTAGTTGTTGTAGTTGAATTGGTATTATTTGTCGGTGTAGTAGTTGTATTCGTTGTGCTTGTACTGGATTTTTTCAACTCTTTCAGTGATGATGATGATGTTGCTGTTGTTAGCGTTGTTGTTGATGTTGTTGATGTTGTTGATGATGATGAAGATACTCCAATGAACTGAATGAAAGAGGGAAAAAAAGATAGGGGGGGAACATGAAATATCCACGTGAATTAAAGTTGTATTGTTTGTGATGAAAGTGAAATTGAAATGATGGAAAAAAGAAAAGACAACCATGAAGTAATATGTGCATTATGAGGTTGGGAAGATTGTTGAGTTACTTTTATCAACAGTGAATAGAACGAATGAAGCGACGTGAATTGGAGAAGCGCGTTGAGCCAACAACTCCTAGGATTACAATGCGAACGAATGGGTGAAGGAAGCGAGTGAACAGGCGAAGCGCGTTGGAGAAGGCTAATGAGCCAACTCCAAGAGGCAGAGAAAGACTGAGAATATATAGTCAGACAAATATAAGACAGACATGTGACATGAATAAAAGTGACGAATAGTTGACAAGGTCAAATGACAAGTGGATCACATCATGTGAGCCCATACAAACCATACAATAATAAGAACGAATGGTACATATAAATACAAATAGCTTGGGTAAATAAACTAATCGAAAGGGCTTGACCAAGTTAGATGTAAGCTAACTGGAATATATGTGGAGGCACTACAAAATAATGTTTGCATTATGAGGTTGGGGAGATTGTTGAGTTACTTTTTGAAATCATGAATCTATCAATGCTAGACCACCATTAGAAACCTGGAAGCACTACGCGGCGGTTTTGTCCTGGTATGAGACTCATCAGTGGCTGTGTGCATCCACAACTCCTACCACTCCCACCACTCAGACTCAGGACCCTCCACGAATGCCAAACCTCTAGACCACTGAGACGGTATCTGACGGTGTCAATGACTAACTTAGATCAATCCACGGTCTTGCGCAACCTGATCCACTGTCGTAGGTGGGCATTGCTGCACACCCGATCAGGGCTGAACTCTACTGATCACGACTTGTACCAGGATGAAACGGCTGTCCAGTGCTTCCAGGTTTTTATTGGTGTTCTAACATTGATCTATTCCTGATTTCAATAAGTTATATTATGCAGCAGCTCTGCTGGAACACTTTTTAAAAATAAAAAATGAAAATGTTCCTTTAACAAAATTTAATGTATACTATGTCATCTGAGGCGTAACCGACCAGTAATCTACATTAGTTGAGAGCAGTTTAATATATATTTACAAATATTGCTGAACTGAAACATACTACTCACTATTAAATTAAGTAGCACATCTCTCTTTCTTTCTCTGTTCATGTGTAATCGTTTGGTCTGTGTCTAAAGTTTGAAGAAATGAACATTGGTTACTCCACGGTTTTCGTGTTAACAATTACCTTTCAACATATACGATGATATGTGGGATTTTATTTGAATAACTGAACGTATTCATATCATTATTACTGAGTGATGATTGGACATTTTCCATGATACCTTTAGTCCCATCGCTATTGTAAAGCGTTAAAACCGATCCAAAGGTCTTTCGGAAATCTGGAATACCGTCTACAGAACCTGTTCAGTTGATATTGTCTTGAAAACTCCAAAAGCACTGAGCCTGTTTTTGGATATTAAATCAAGTATATTCAGGGGTGTATCTCTGAGACAAGCATATGACAACTGGCAGGATCAACCAGTTTATTCACAATTATATAAATTTACCCTGCATTGTCTAGGGCAATTGTACATTGGTTTTCAGGAGAACCAAAGAGACTGGACACGTTTTACCATTACTACATGAGCAGTTCGGCTCAATCCTGTGGTGCAACCACACAGGTACCTAGAAACCCTGGTGGACCATTCACACCGTTTCATATACACACAATGGTATATATATTTCCGAAGCATGATCGCGTCAATCAATATGCACCGCATGACTAGGCCATTTCGACTCATCCCGCTTACACAACTCATTATTATTAGCAATGGTGATATGTAATACAGCACCCCAAAGACAATGGCCCTCGGGAATGTAGCGAAACAATCACCTATATCAATGAAATCGGTCACCCTGCTAACCAATTTTGTATATGGACTGTAAACAATGCTTACCAAAGCAAAGCCAAGCCATCCACAATATTCACAGCGAACGTCTGGTCTCATAGGAGACCTTCAGGTCTATATAGCAGTATAGCATATAGTGTACACATATATGGCACAGGATAGTAGAAGAGGCAGCCCAGCTTGATGCAGATAGGCCCAAACACTTCTATTACCATTTGTCTCATGTCGGGCAATGATTTTTCACGTTTCCGAAATTTTCATTTTTCGACCAAATGAGACCTGAGTTAGGAGTAGTATCCCCTATATTCAGGGGTGTGTCTGTTTGTAAATTGCTTGTATGTACAACACAAAAACCTTGGTTTGTATGTTTGTTATTGTACCGCACAAAAGTACAGTGGACACGTTTAAGTGTTCACACTTCAAGCATATACACAGTATTAGGTTGATCTTACTTACTAACTTACTTACGCCTGTTACCCCCATGAAGCATAGGCCGTTGACCAGTATTCTCCAACGTACTCTGTCCTAGAGTCTCTTTTCCAGTTCTGTCCAATTTTTGTTTGATCTAACACAGGATATGCGTAAAATGACCTTGCTTGTTTGGCCTATCAAGATGAAAAAATCTTACTCGTTCTTCGAAAAGATGGCTAAGTCACTATTGTTTCCACTGAAAATTTAGGACTTGGATGAGAAGCAGATGAGTATCAGCTCCAAAATAAGAAAGATATATTGACACGAAATCTATTCGAAACAATCATCACAAAATGAACGAAAATGTTGCTAATGAACCCAATCCGTTCTCATTCATAGTAACCAGTTCTTTACGCCATACTCTAAACCCTACTACTTGGGCATCAGATTTTCTTTGATATAAAATTCAAACTACTGAAAATATTTATAGTAGTCAAAAAGTTATTACAAAAAAAATTCAATCGGACGATAATTACTTTTAATTCTTTAATATTTTTTTCATCACTATTTTCTTGACGAATAGTTTCATCCAATTCATCGGAGAATTTAGTATTAACAATCTTATTAGCATATTCTTCATAATACGACAGAATCTCTGAAGGTAATCCATCGCCTGGTTTACGTGGTGGCAATATTAACCTGCCGTATTCATCGTAACCATCAATGAATCTTAATATTTCATCTTCCTTGATGAAAAGAAAAGAAGGGGAGAAAAGGAAAATGTTTGGTCAGTTTGAACTACTTATTTCACACCAGTCAACACAATCATTTCAATTCAATCTCGAAATGACATTTTTATAGGTTATTTAGATGGAATTGAGGTTGAGACATGTATTGCAAATGCTCAACCACCGACTACTGCCTCAACAAACGATGTTTTGTAGTGTTGGGGTAGGCTGGAAGAAGTCTAGGGGAGGCCAGACTAAAATATGACAAAAATACATGGATTCACTAACAAGTGAATTGAGCCATCTCAGTTTATGTACACTGACTAACTGGTTGGTGTCCGCGAGATGATAGTAACCAATGATTCGAGACGTTGAATATGTCTGAAAATCATTTGCGATGGCACCGGTGCAACCACTCTTTGTCTACGCCCAAATCGTAATCCTCTGAATTTTTTATCACTTTTGTCTTTTTTTTAAAGCTTATTTAACTAGATTATACATCTTGAAGAATATCTTCGAACCCTAATCCTCTCCAATTATTGTTAGTACTTCTATTATCCCATCACTCTGAGAGATGAATTGACATTCAAATACAGACAACGACAGGTCAAAGATCAATAAAGACCAATTAAAACCAAAGTCAACAAGACAAACCATGAGTCATACATGTAGAAATTCGAACACTTGATGTCTAACTGAAGAAGTTTGTCGTGCTGATGTTTTTCTCACGAACAATGAAAACTCCATAACCAAAACATTAAGCTTAGGTACTGCTTTGAGAAATTATACGCTAAGGATCAAAATTATTCATCTCCAATATTAAGCTTAGTGTAAACTGACATAATAGATTGACTAAAATATCAGGATCATTTTCATAAGTATGTATCCATTAATTTCAATTTCCACTTGTCATTGAATACATGGATTTGTGCTATAATTTGGTTTGGCAGCCGTCAGATTTCTTCCAGCCTCCTACTACACCACAAAAAATTGTTCGTCTAGGCCGTCGGAGGACGGGCATTTGTAACTCATCCCACAACCATCTCAACTGATGAAGATTCACTACTCCATCAGCGGATGTGCAGTCCTTACCTAGTACCCGTTTCCTAAGGACAGCATTGCTTGCTTCGTTGTCCGATGATACAACAGTAATTTTTCGGAGACACCAATGATCGGAAACCAGTAACCTACGAATATATTCTACTCTGACTGGCCATGTTTCACGGCCATAAAATAGGATGGAACGAAGTGCATCCTCTTGTCAGTAGACAGATGTCTCGCTTACGTAAGTGATGTAAGATATCAAAAGCCAGTCGGGCCTTCTGCATCTGTGCTGAGATTTCGTTGGATATCAGGCTATCAGCACCAATAAGACTGCTAAGATAAGTGAAGCAGTCAACGCGTTCGGCTACTTCACTCACGATCACTTCTAGTTCAGGTGCCTATGCAACCCAATCCTGAAGCAACATTTTACATTTCAATGATGAGAATCGTATCTCGATCATGCTTGCATTGTTGCCTAACTGAAGTATATGTAGGTCATCAGCCGTACGTTTTAAATATATAAACATGATGTAACACGCCATGTTGGAGGTTAAATCGATATTTACATAAGTTAATTCACGTGTGTTGAACTGTACTGTTTGATGACTTGTTACGCCTGCACGTAAACACGTCAACTTGATATACTTGAACTATTACGAGTTTACCTAGTCGGAAAACGAGAGCGAGGATCGAGGATCCAGTGACACGACATGCTAATCAAATCCGGTTATCCCAACCCCCATATTTAGTAAAAAATAAGAATACATGATATTAAGTAGAACGTGTATTCTACAAGCATCCAGAAAGTATGAGGTCCGAATCCAGAAGAGAATCAGGATCCCGGACTAGGGATCCGGGACCGAGCCCTGGTCCTGGTCGTGGTCATAAAACGTTACACATAATGCGTATTTATAAATTTTGGTAAGAAATGTTGTGCCATTTGACTGCTAATTGATTTTTACGCAAACGAAACTGAAGAGGATGGTGTCCACTTTGTCCGATGTAATGTTTCTCACAATCTGAGCAATTTATTTTGCAGATGACAATTGGTTTTTCTTCTTTTGTCTTCATTTTTTCCTTTGATCTACATTGGATTGATTGAAGTGATTCTGTTGGTTTGCGTGCCACATTTGGCGTGTATTAGTTTCCGATGTGCCATTTATGTATGGTAGATTGGTCGGTTTATTGGTTTCCGTACTTGATTTCGATTCTGTTGACGATTTTACTTGATGGTTTTTGATGAACTTGCGTGGAAAGCCGTTCTTTTGGAAGACAGTCATAACATGCTTTTCTTCGTGTTTTAGTGCTTCGTATATGCTGCAGTGTGTATTCGCGCTCTTGGACAAAGTTTGTATTCAGTTGATTTCGTGGGTTCTGTAGTTGAGAAATACGTCTGCGTGGATTGGCTTCCGAAATACTTGAGTTTCCATTTTTCCTGCCTTAGTTCTGGTGATTAGTACATCCATGAATGATAGACTGTTGTTTGATTACTTTTCCATCGTGAATTTGATGTCATCGAAGACTTTGTTGATCCGACTGTAGATGTTCTCCAGCTCGTTCCTTTTGATAATGACAAATGTGTCGTCTACATGACAAACCCATATTTTTGGCTTGATCACTAGTGAAATCAATGCTTCCAGTCTTCACATCACGACTTCTACGATAAGTCCAGATCAAAGAAGAAAAACCGCACCACAAAGAGTCGATGTTTGCGTGCATTTGATACTCCAACTTGATGTTCCATTTAGTTCAAACAAACGTTTGCTTCGGTAAATAAAGTTTATCTACTGACTCAAAAATATCTCTTTATGTGTGCTAATCACCAAATTTATACAAAACAAAAATAATTTTGATCATGAAACAACTAAATAGTTGAAAACTGAAAGATTTATGCTTATTCATTCAACAGAATTTGATATAAATTGTACCCAGTAGTCATAAGTTAGGTTTGCATTACAGGGTTGTGAAGATTGTTAAGGTACACATTTTTTGAAACCATCAATCGACCAATGTTAGACCACCATCAGAAACCTGGAATCACTGGACGGCCGTTTTGTCCTAGTATAGGACTCCTCAGCAGTGCGCATCCACTACTCCTGCACCCCTCAGGAATCGAACCCAGGTCCTTCGGTATTGTGCGCGAACGCCCTAACCGTTAGACCACTGAGCCAGTACCTAAGTGGTGTTAATGTCTAACTTGATCCAGGTTTCTAATGGTTGCCTAACATTGATCGATTGATGGTTTCAAAAAATAAATTAGGTTGTCTTTTTATATACAACTAATTGATTTCGACTAGCTATCACTGGGATCCAAGACATAAATTTCATCTCGTGCAGGGACTCATTAGCTAGATAATATCATCTGCATCTCAGTGTTATTATTCATAATATTTCTAAGGTATTTAAAAACACTTTTCTACTCAAGATACTTCGGATCCATTCGCCAGACACTGGAAATGAAATCATGAACTTTTGCTACACAGTAAGCGCTGGTTTTAGACAGAATTCAGCAAGACTAAAGTACACATTGCCCAAAGAATCAGAGGCAGACGTCAATTGGAAAGCAAGGCCTAGGACAGATTGAGTTGAAGAATCCCAGTAGGCTGCCTATGGTCCATGATGGGCCAACAAGCGTAAGTGAGTAAGTTTAAAAACAAACATGTCAATATGCACACATACATATACACTTACTAAAACAGCTTGTTTATCCAATTCAACGGAATAAAATTCTATCGGATAATCACATGGATTGGTTATTGTCACCAATTCTTCACTTCCATTGATGGAATATGGTAAAATTGGTGTAAATTGTAACATAACACGATCAAATGTTAATTGTGGCTCTAAACCTTTACCTTGACAATGGATTTTCAACATTGTATCACTACTATTTTCAATGTTCAATTGAATTTTGGTTTCATATTTTTTCTCTTCAATTGGTGTAAATCTTATCTAAATAAAATAATGGGAAATAGATGGAATGGAAAATAAGCGCGCATGTTTCGTCTTACTAAGGATTCATCAGCCGGATATTCCTCTCTACCAAATTAACATCATTTAGACATATTTTGAACCTACTTAATGATTGAATCATAAGTGTAGAGATCTGATTGGTTTGTCCATAAATTTCAGTCTCACAATCATGAAAATCGCAGTGAAAATATTCAAGGTCATAAACTGAGATATTTAACTTACCAAATAACATGTTTTAAAATTTTAAATTGTTACTGTCTCTTTTAGATAGGAAACATGATCCAATGGTCAAGATATTCGTCGGTTACTGGTTTTCGATCATAGGTGTCTTCGAAGCATTACTCGTATATCGTGGGACACCCGAGTGAGCAACGCTGTTATTAGGAAGCAGGTGCTAGGTAAGAATGGCAGATCAATAGATGAAGTGGTGAAACTTCCTCAGTTGAGGTGGTTGGGC